TATATAGCGCTTTTTGGGCGCTCAATGGTGCTTTCCAAAGGTATGTAAGTAACTAAGTAATCTTTATTTATATACCGCCTTTCACAGACCAGAGTCACAAAGCGGTTTACAATTATGGGCATTTGTCCTCTCACTCCACACAAAGATGGGAGCGGGGTTGCCAGTACAGGAGGCGCATGCCAGAGCTATTGTGCATGTTTTTAGTGGTAGGGGAAACCGGAGCACCCGGAGGAAACCTACGCAGACACGGGGAGAACATGTAACCGCCACTCAGAAAGACCCTGTTCCGACCGGGATTCGAACCCAGGACCTTTTTGCCGCCAAAAAGGACAGGTTAAAAAGAAACAAAGATGAAATAAATGGTTAAGTGTAGGTTTTTAACAGGGTTCAGAAGGCTCTTTCCCTCAGAGTTCAGTTATAATCAATTGTCCCTATGGGGAACAATAAAGTATAACTGAAGGCTCGGCCCCCCAGTGTTCAGAAGGCTCGGTCCTCCAGGGTTCAGAAGGCTCGGCCCCCCAGTGTTCAGAAGGCTCGGTCCTCCAGTGTTCAGAAGGCTCGGTCCTCCAGGGTTCAGAAGGATTGGTGCTAAGGGTTCAGAAAGCTCTCTTTCATCACCTACAGGTGTAAAGTGAGTTAGCTCAAATGTTTCCCTACCAATTACCCTTTACAAAATAGGGAAAATGCAAACATTGTTTGAGAAAATTGCACTACACAAATCATTCAACCCTAGCATTTCCTGCTCACTCAAAAGCTCTCCCTTGCATAAGAGCTGGGGAATCATTGCATTGGGGGTAGCTTCATTGTTCTCTCTTTAAGCCTCTTAGCTCTGAAATATTCATGTGTGTCATGTGCTACGGTAGAACTGGCAGATGGGGTAAAAACAGACTTTAGTTATTGGGAACTTGGAAACATTTAATTGCTCAAATTCAAATCCAATCACATTTTATTCAAGGCATTTTACTGTAGAAACCCCAGAACCTTTTCCCATGCCTTCATTATATCACAACTTGCTATACATTATACATCTACGTCTAAAATGATTTCACCTTCTCAAATATGAAATACCAAAGATGATATTCTCATGTTTAAGGGCTAGCATTTTTGACATGGATAGATTCCTTTTCCTACATGTCCTAGAACAATCCACTGGTTTGTACTCATTTTATGTCACTAGCCAGTCCATTCGTGGAGGCGGATCCCTCCCTGGGGTTTCTCACTTTTTCTCCACTTGCTTTTGAGTTATTCCTTGCAGATGCAGAAGGGTATAAGGACAGTGATGATCTGGGACAATTACACATTTATTAACATTTTTGGACAGTGGTTATCCCGCTCCGTATGGACCAATGGTTCCTACTGTATGCGTTTATTATCCTGTAATCTGTTTGCGATTTAGGGCTGTAGAAAAATAAGTTAAATTGAATTGACTTGAACGAGAAGATGTAGCTTGAATTAGGGCAAAACACATTGATTGGAAGCAGACTACTTCTGATTCCTAAAAATATTTAGCAATAAGGATGAATCAGTAGCAATACGGATGAGAGCTCTGATGCAGGGCATCCTGGGTAACTCCAGACACCCTCTGCATGACACTATGGCCGCTCAGAGGAGCAACAGAACCTATCACTACGCTGCCGAATGGAACATTTCAAGAGATCCTTTGTTTCCTTCGGCTGTCAGACTGTACAACAAACCTGGATGAGTCTTCTGCTGCTGGACACCTGAATTTCTCCTACGGGGATCAATAAAGTATCTATCTATCTATCTCTATTTATCTATCTAGTGCTTTATATTAATCTGGAAATACATTGTGTACTGTTTGTGGTCTAACAATTACTTATTACTCATTTGTAATAAGAAACGGTTCATTCTGCTCAATATCTTTTATAAGTCTGTATTTGAACTGTTTTATTCTCTGATCTGTTGTTGGTGAATCGAAAACTTTGTGAAGTCCTCAGAGACGTTTTGTGATTCAGGGCGATACACAAATACATTGAATTGAATTGATTTCACATGCAGACGCTCGCTCTTCCAACTGTCTGATGGGAATGTTATTGGATGTGCTTCAGTGAGCCTCCCGATGATTAACCCAATCATTTTTATTTTTTTTGCGCCGGGAGGAAATCACTCCGAGGCACTAAATTAAAATTCTTTTATGTACCTGAGAGCGGTCCATCAGCCACCTTCTACAGGGCATGCAGATAAGCCAGTTACAATGAATACTAGAGACTGCTGACGAGTGATGTCACACACACTTAATCGTGTGTGGAGACATTTTTTTTTAAAGTATGTTCAAAAAGTATTATGGTACTTATGTGTAGTTCTTTAGTAAATATATAGTTCAATGGTACATATGTGTAGTTCTGTTGTAGATATGTGTAGTACATTTGTGTAGTTTTGTGGTATATAGTGTAGTTTTTTAGTACTTATGTGTAGTTCTGTAGGGGCGACAGTGGCTCAGTTGGTAGAGCATAGGCCTTTGAGCCTGGAGGTTGTGGGTTCGAGCCCACCATAAAACCTACTTCATGACTCCCACTGATGTCTGCTGTCGTTGTGTCCTTGGGCAAGACACTTAATCCCACTTTGCCTGAAGCCTCCACTGAAAGATCTCAGCTCCTGTGGACTCACCACCTGCAGGAGGATCAGTGAGGGGCTGGTGCTCTGTGTACTGGGTGCAGCTCTGACTGACACCACCCCCCCCCGACACAGAAATGGATTAAGGGGAAGACGATGGATGGATGGATGTAGTTCTGTAGTACATACTGTATGTGTAGTTCTTTAGTACATATGTGTAGTTCAGTGGTACAAATGTGATGTTCTGTAGTACATGTGTGTAGTTCTTTGGTACATATTTGTAGTTCTTTTGTCATGGTGTGGATTTTGTTATTTTGACATCTGTTCTTTGTGGTTTAGTTTTAGTTTTACTTCCAGTCCTGTTTCCCCCGTCTTCATTGTCTGCCCCGCCCTGATGTGTTTCACCTGTCTCTCTGTGTGTCTATATGTACCCTGTGTTCCTCTCTCCTTGTTGCTGCTCCAGTATCTTGTCAATGTCTGTTCTTTTTCTTGTTTCCTTGACGCTTGTGCCTTTGGATTTTGAGTTTGTTTTCACCCGGACTTTTATTTTATTATCATTAAACCATTATTTTTTGGCATTCCTGCATTTTGAGTCCTTCCTGCTTCTCACCGCATAACATCTTTAGTACATAATGTGTAGTTCTTTAGTACATATTTGTAGTTCTTCAGAAAATATGTGTAGTTCTGTGGTACATTTGTGTAGTTCAGAGGAACATATTTGTGGTTCTTTAGCACATATTTGTAGTTCAGTGGTACAAATGTGTAATTCTGTAGTACATGTGTGTAGTTCTGTGGTACATATAGATACTTTGTCGTTCCCTTTAGGAGAAATTCAGGTGTCCAGTAGCAGCAAAAATAAGAATAAAATTGATCATTCTAAAAAGCTACCTATAGAAATAATCAGCAACAGCCCTTCAGGTCACAGCAGCAGAGATGGAGTAGCCTCTGGGTGGAGCAGGACAGGTCACAAGGTGGAGTAGACGCTTGGTTGGGACCATTTTCTCAGCTCTAGTCCAAAGTAAAATGCTAAATGCTTCATTAGCATTATTCAAAAAGTTAGCATTCCTCTAGTGGATTTTTGCCTGATCCGCTTGGTTCGAACCATGAATCCTCTCTGCTCTGGTCTGGACCAGTGTAAAACCATGAACACTGTACTGCAGCAACATCTTAAAAAAGGAAGAAAAATAAAAATTGTAACGCACAAAAAAACTGTTTCAGAGCTACTTCCAGCGCTTTCAAAAGTAAAAGAGTATGTGTAGTTCTGTGGTACATATGTGTAGTTCAGTGGTGCATAGAGAAGAGTAGGGCTGATGGAAACGGGGCTTATAGCTTCATTACACACAGAAGGAAGTCATTTTTTTGTCCTTATTTTGCTTTTTTTACTCTGCTATAAATAAAACAATATCTTCTGAGCACGACTACAAATGCCTTTTCCAAATCTCCGAAGTATTTTTGTTATTGCAGACATGAACTTTAGATGAGCATTGGAACCTGCCACACACGGGTCTCTTATTGAACAGTTTATGACGCGAGTCCAGCTCACTGATGCCAACACGAGGCCGAGAACGACTAATGAAATGCCCCGCAGTGATTTGTAGCAGAAAATATCATTATGTTAAAAGCTTTCGGGTCTCACCAGCCGCATATACCAGAGCAGGGTTGGTCCATAGAGCGGTCAGGCTTCTCAAACTGTGGTCAGACCTCTTGGACACAGAAAAAAGTCACTTAATCCTTTGCTGTTAGGGCTGCAACCATTAATCGATTAATCCCGTTTTGACTATAAATTGTATACAGTTGATGGACAATGCTAACATAGGCTGTGTATAGTTGGACAATGCTAACATACAAGCTCACTAACCAATTGTAAGAACATTGACCAATCAGATGGCTTCATTCTTGGGGAGACACTGAAGCATGCCGTAGCAACCAAATAATAATAATAATGCATCAGTTTTATGCAGTGGATTGGATGAAGACCCTTCACAAGTCATTATTCATTCACTCCACAGTCTGGCACTTCAAAGCTGCACTGTGGCACCTTGTGTTCCCAAAGGTCTCTCATCACTGGGTGAGGTTTACCAGCCTCTGTCCTGCTTAGCTTCAAAGGTGTGACAGAATCTGGCTTTCACATGCAGGCTTTTTAACAACATGTCTGCCCCTGTTACGATGCAAAGCTAATACCGTGGAAGAAATTCCTATAATAAGTAAATTGGTTCCAGCTATCTCATTAAGGCTAACACTCTGATGATGTGACACACGGTCAGTTCACTTAATTCCATGGCAAACACTTTTTCTAAATGTATGACTTTACTGAACTGGAACTAAAAAGCAGTACCCTGAAAATACCCAGCCCTACTTATTTGCCCCACTGTATGTGTTTAGCAGACTTTTTGATCAGAGGATGTTGTGTGTGTCTTGGTCCTCAGAAGCAGCCCGGGGCAGAGGAGCTTGCCCGGCCCGTTGTCATCCAGGAGAGGAGGCTGCATGTGGGGGTGCACAACGGCTGGGGTTTCCTGGAGCGGCCGCAGGTTCTGGTGCTGGAGGTGCTGCCCCCTACTGGCTCCAAGAACAAAGACGGGTGAGGACAGGTCAAACACTCAAATGTAGGGGCATTTAACTCAATATTTGCAAAGACCAGTTTATTAAAAGGCTTGATTAGTATTAGTCTGTTTTGTCAGCTTTTTTTTGTATGGCATATTTACAGAGAGAGTCCAGATAAAGAAACTACAGAGAGAGAGTCCATTGACAGACCAGACAAAAAAACTACAGAGAGAGAGAGACTTCAATTCTGTCAGATATATAGGTGCTAATTATTTTAATACCAGCATCAGAATCTTCAAATCAACCCCGAATGTGACGAGCCAGTGAAGTGAGGCCAGCACAGGGGTAATGTGCTCTCTCACATGTCACTGTGCGCAAACAGCAGCAGCATTCTGGACCTGCTGAAGATGCTTAACTGAGTTTAGGTTCAGACTGCTATACAGTAAAATTTATTTTGATGAAACTTGTGCATCTGCGGCTTATGTGCAAGTGTTTTTTTTTGTTTAGACTTAATCTTAAATCGAAAGGGAGTGGACTCAAATATGAATACGTTCTTATCAATATGTGTTACTCTGGTTCTGTGGAAGTAGATCCACTGCGCACCGACTGGGACCTATTGAGATGTCCATGGTCCGAGTATATGCCAATCAGCACACGCCATTGATCTGAATGGGACCCGGCTCAGATATCTTGGAGGCGCGGGGCTTAGGTTTTAATTCAATTCAATTCATTTTTGTATAGCCCTAAATCACTTCTGTTCATAATGTCACGTTTTTTCTAATGTAATCTCCCCGACTGGTGCTTGACTGGTAGTCCTTTTACAATATTAAAGAATACAAATTTGAAAACTGAAATACTAAAACAAATATATCCTTTGATACCGTAAGAGTACAGTATGTAGAATTGAATAAACATGAAGTGTTGAAGTGATGTCTCCTTAACGGCTTTGAGGAGCAGTGTGCTTATTAGTGTCATGATTATGAACGTGTGCCATCATCAGCTCTCATCACTCTGATTACACAGACAAGCCACGCAATCAGGAGCGACCCAGCAATCAGTCTCACGCATTGGAGGCTGGAGGCTAGAGGCAGGACCGGGCCACGGCTACAACAGCAACACACAAGACACAAACAAGCTAAATGAATTATTACATAAACAACACTACACTAAAAAAAACTACACAATGAGTGGACTCAGTGAACAAAAGGAGAACATTTAAAATGTATTTTATCCTATCCATGACATTTCCAGCATTAACAATTTACAATTCTGTATACTGAACTTCTCGGGTGTCTAAGCACACCTATGTATACCTATAATGTCTGGTGTGCAGGGGAAAGCTTCTGATTGGTTGGGCAGGCTGTCCGTTAACCCTCTCCATGGCTGTAGCCTCTGGTTTCATTATTGTAAGGCAAGGCAAGGCAAGGCAAGTTTATTTATATAGCACAATTCATACACAAGGCAATTCAAAGTGCTGAACAAAACAAGAAAGCATTAAAATCATAAATTATCACAGAACATTAAAAAGAAAGATAAAAATATAAAATCCCTCAGTTGTATGCACAGTTAAACAGAACCGTCTTTAACCTGGTTTTAAACATTGTCAGAGAGGAGGCCTGTCTCACATCTTCAGGAAGACTGTTCCAGATTTTAGCAGCATTAATCTGAAAAGCAGCCTCCCCATGTTTAGTTCTGACTCTGGGCACTAACAGGAGTCCAGTCCCTGTGCTCCTCAGAGTCCGGGCTGGTTCATATGGGACTAACATGTCACTAATATATTTTGGTGCGAGGCTATGGAGAGACTTGTACACAAGCAGAGCTGTTTTAAAGTCTATTCTCTGAGCCACAGGAAGCCAGTGCAGAGACCTGAGGACTGGACTAATGTGGTCGTACTTCCTGGTTCTTGTCAGGACTCGAGCTGCTGCATTTTGAATGTACTGCAGCTGTTTTACAGCCTGTTTGGACAGACCTGTGAGCAGGCCATTGCAGTAGTCTAACCTACTGGAGACAAATGCATGGATAAGAATCTCCAAGTCTGCTTTAGACACTATGTTTTTGATCCTGGCAATGTTTTTTAGATGGTAAAAAGCTGCTGATGTTACTGATTTGATGTGGCTATTAAAATTTAAGTCTGAGTCCAGTATTACCCCTAGATTTCTGACCTTGTTTGAAGGTTTTAGGGAGAGAGACTGTAGGTGACAGATGACGCTCTCTCTTTGTTTCTGGGGACCAAAGACAATCATTTCAGTTTTGTCTGCGTTTAGCTGAAGGAAGTTGTTTTGCATCCACTCACTAATCTGTTGGATACAGTGAAGGAGTGAGTCCACTGGTCCATGTTCTCCTGCAGTCAGTGAGACATAGATCTGAGTGTCGTCTGCATAGTTATGATAGGAAACTTTGTTTCTGCGTATTAACTGACCTAACGGCAGCATGTAGAGATTGAACAGAAGAGGTCCCAGGATCGACCCCTGTGGGACTCCACAGGTCAGGGCCATATGATCTGAGACACAGTTTCCAATCTCCACAAAGTACTTCCTGTCTTCAAGGTAAGACCTAAACCAACTTAGGGCGGTGCCAGTGACGCCAACCCAGTCCTCTAGTCTCTGTAAGAGGATCTCATGGTTGACGGTGTCAAAGGCAGCACTTAGATCTAACAAGATTAAGATTGAGACTTTGCCTGCGTCAGTGTTCAGCCGGATATCGTTTGTAACCTTAACGAGAGCAGTCTCAGTGCTGTGGTGGGGTCTAAAGCCGGACTGAAACATATCAAATGAGTTGTTGATTATAAGAAATCTAGTAAGCTGTTGGTAGACAACTTTCTCAAGGACTTTCCCCATAAATGGCAGATTTGAGATGGGACGATAGTTGTTAAGTACCGTAGCATCGAGACTGCTCTTTTTTAGCAGGGGCCTGATGACTGCAGTTTTCAGGGCCTTTGGGAATATTCCAGAATGAAGGGACATGTTTACTATCTGTGTGAGTGAAGGTAACAGACTGCTCAGAACAGACTTCAGAAATCTAGTGGGTAGTACATCCAGGCTGCATGTGGAGGAGCTCAAACTGGAGATTATCTCTTGGACAGTTTTATCATTTACAGGTGCAAAGTGAGTTAGCTCAGAGAGCCTTTCTGGCTGTTGGATGGTTATCTGTGGATTGGAGACAATGGCGCTTTTGATGCCTTGAACCTTGTCATTGAAAAAATTAGCAAACTCATTGCATTTACGTTTGGAAGTAAGCTCTAATGGCATTTGAACAGGGGGGTTTGTTAATCTATTAACTGTTGAGAACAGAACACGCAGATTGTTGCTGCAGCCTTCAATCATTTCAGAAAAATACCTTTCTCTCGTACTACGTAGCACCCGGTTAAACTCGCACAACTTATCTTTGAAGATCTCGTAATCTACCTGGAGGTTGGACTTGCGCCACTTCCGCTCGGCCCTCCGGCACTTTCTCTTTTGTGCCCTGACCGAGTCTGCTTTAGCCCACGGCGCCTTCTGCTTATTTTTCACTATTTTAACCTTCACAGGGGCAACGGTATCCAGAACATTCAAAGCACTAGAGGTGACAGAGTTAAACAGTTCATCTACAGTAGAATACGATGCATTCTCAAAGTTTATCATTTCCATAAATAGTTCACTCGTATTTTCATTTATGCGCCTTCTTCGAACAGTTGCAGAGTCCACTGGTGGTTTGTTAGTGAAACACAAGTCAAAAAAAACACAGAAATGATCCGAAAGAGCAACATCGACCACGTTTACATTTGAAATAATCACCCCCTTTGTAACTAACAGATCTAGAGTGTGCCCTCTGCTGTGGGTGGGGCCACTTACGTGCTGAGTGAGATCAAAGGATTCAAGTACAGAACTCAGCTCATTTGCATTTCTGTCATCAACATTATCCACATGAATATTAAAATCACCTGTAATAACCAAACTATCAAAATCTGTGCATACAACTGAAAGCAACTCGGTAAAATGATCAATAAAACTGTGACATGACTGCGGTGGCTTGTATAGGACTACGAAGAGTATTGGAGGAGATTGTTTTTGTTGTATTTTAAAAGACACATATTCAAATGACGAAAACTTCCCAAGAGACATTCTATGGGAGACAAAGTGGTCTCTAAAAATGGCAGCTAAGCCTCCTCCTTTTTTGTTTTCCCGTATTTCAGATTCAAACTTGAAATTTGGTGGTGATGCTTCTATTAAAACTGCATTTTCTGAATTTTGGTCAAGCCAAGTTTCAGCCATGAACATAAGATCAAGATTATGAGAAGAAATAAAATTATTGATTGAAAAAGACTTGTTACAAAGAGATCTGACATTAAGCGTAGCAAGTTTCAAAGTTTCAGTATCAGCGGTTGCGGTCGGCTGATTCTTACACGGAACAAGAATTAGATTTTCCAGATTAGACTGATTAACTCCAGATGTTTTTCTGTAATGTATTCTTTGTGTTATCACTAAGGGAATGGCACAGGTGGCTTCATGACAGGGCCCCAGCCGGGTCTCTCCTCTAACTAGACTGCCAGTGGCTGCGAAGCAGAGACCCTGTGCATCCTAGTGTTTAGAGAAAAGAGGGGTAGGGGAAGGCGGGGGAGGAGGATGGAGAGGTGGGTGGCTTTTGGGTGTTGAACGAGGGGGGCAGGGAGGTGGAGGGGTTTTAGGTGATGGGTTAGGGCCGGGGTGGGCTGAGGCAGAGGTTTTGGATGTTGAACGAGGGGGAAGTGGGGGTGGAATGGTCATGAGGTTAGGGGAGGGACTGGCTGAGGTGGTTTTTGTAGGTGAATTGGAAACCCTAGGTGGTTTTGGAGGTACATATGGGGAGTGGTTTAGAATGTTGGACAGGACTCTAGATCGAGCTAATATGGGTGTGAGAGGAATAGTCTTCATCGCCGATTTTATTAGCCCTGCAGAGTGTTCAGGTAGGTCTAACAGTGAAGGCGGGGATGAAAAACAAAGGGAGGTGTCCCCATTCTCTCTTGATGGAGTGGACGTGGCAGGGGGGACCCAAGACAGGTCCTTGGGAGGTGGCGAGGGAGTCTTTAATGGAGGGGCAGGTGGTTGAGGAAACCCCAGCACAGGCCTGTCTGCTGTAGGCTGGGGTGAGGATTGGGGCTTCAGAGGCGCTGTAGATGAAGAAGGCGTGGCTGCTTTGGAGCAGGCTGGGGATGAGGATGGTGGTGGTGGTCGTGCTGCTGGTGCTGCTACTGGTGATGATGCAGCTGCTGCTGGTGATGATGCAGCTGCTGCTGGTGATGATGCAGCTGCTTCTGATGACAGTGGAGGTGTTGAGATCCTTCGAGGTGGTTGTGGTGTTGAGATCCTTTGAGGTGGTGGTGGTGTTGAGATCCTTCGAGGTGGTGGTGGTGTTGAGATCCTTCGAGGTGGTGGAGGTGCAGAGACTTTTGGAGTCGGCTTCCTCCCTTTCGATGGCTGCACGCGCTGCGCAGGCTGAGATCTCAGGGCAAAAGAAAGGTTATCCATCAGCACTTTTACTCCGTAAGTGTTCAGATGTGGCCCTTTCCCTTCAAAAAGCTCATGCCTATTCCAGAACAGATTAAAATTCTCAATGAAGGCAAGTCCTCTGCGTGAACATTCGTTGAGTAGGAAAGTATTTAGCTGATACAGACGACTGAATTTCATTTGCTTCCCGTCCACATTTGGTAGTGGGCCACTGATAACGATTTTTGTGTCCATTTTAGCAAGGTCGTCCAATAATAGAGAGTAATCCCGTTTCAACTTTTCACTTGTGTTGTCATAGACGTCTACTGCCCCCACGTGGATCAACAATCTTTTTACCCCGCCGGTCTCAGACAGAAGCCTCGGAGCCAACCGCCTTATCTCATCCACTTTGGCAGAGTGTACTGAGTGAACCTTGAGATTACGCATATTTACATTTCTTATCGCCGAATCCCCGATAAAGAGCGACTCAGCTGCATTTGACCTTGACTGAGACTGAGACTGGGACTGAGAGACTACTGCTGATTCATCTTCCAAAAGTGGTGAAAAGCGGTTTCTTGTAATTAAAGATTTTTGCTGTGGCATTATGACACTCTTGTTATCATTAGCTTTGCCTTGTTTGGGCTTGGCACCATATGTGTTCCAACAATTGTCTCTGTTGATTTTGGGAAATGAAATAGCGTCATCATAACTTACGTTTTGTCCATGTGGTCCATTTCCTTTCACTGGTATTGTTGTGTTCAGCCCCAATTCTGATTCAAGCACAAACATTCGGTCTTGAAGAAGTTTTAGCTCCTGTTTGAGTGAAAAACAGCCGTCGCAAAGTTTTGTTCTATTTTCCCGTCCTCCCGACATGCTGTAAGTTAGATAAATTCCACCAGTCTTGTGTTGAAGTTTGTAAAAAGGAGTAATCCGTGTTTTGTGGAATAAAAATGTAAGCAAAAATGATTAAAGGAGATAAAAAAGCAGCAAGCGAGGAGCAGCAAGAGAATCAGACTTCTGTACTGCACTGCTCTCTGGTATTCCCGAAAATACCATTTCAAGTTTACAATTACGTAATAATTGATAATACAAATATTCTGGTCATTACATAAGCTCCTGGACCAGTGTTCGTTCAGACAATCACATGTAGAATAATGAGATAACAACCGAGAGTCGTGCTGTTTAATATACTGTAGGCTCAGATTTGGCCTGAAAAAAATGATTTATTTCTCACAATGACTGGTGAATGTAATTCATTTCCCGCTCTATTAGTTGGCAGTGTGGTGTAATGCCCTTGCTGTTCCACTCGGAGCCTTACTATTCCTACTGGACAGAGCTATGAGCGTAAGGAGTGATTCCCATGTGAGCCTTGTGTTCCTGCGTCCTTGCCCTGCCTCACAGCTGTGTCCTCAGAATGACTTTGCGTTAGATAAAGGAAATTACAGCAGCCAATCTAAGGACAGCCCAGATTCAGGCCTCACACAGAGCAGCTGTAAAGGACTCCAGGACTCGACCAAATCTGTCTGTTTTTGAAACATGAAGGACATCCATTATACAGACATCTAAAATCTCTTCTAAATGCAGAATAACATTGTTCGACTCAGGGCATTCAAACCACCCCAGACCTAAAGAAGGTCAACCGGCTGCACCGGGCCTCACTTTGTTCCCCCTGTGCATTTCCTCCTCTTTGGGATGAAATATTCAGCTTTGCTTCAACCTCATACTTGAAAATATTTCTAATTTAAAGTAAATTGTGACACGTGTATCATGTGCAGACAGGTCGTATTTTTTCTCTGGTGGACTCTTGTTTCTTATCTCTCTGGTCTCTCCCTAGTCTCTGGATCTTCTCTGGTTTCTCTCTGGTCTCTCTCCAGTGTGAGCAGTCTCAGAGCCTGCAAACCTCCTCTGACCACACACGGTCTTCTCCTCTGACCACAGGCTCAAACCACACACTTTGACCTGTCCTCTTTTATGTATTTTGCAGTGTGGCCTCCCTGGAGTTGGGTCTTCGCAGCAGCCTTCAACTCAGCCTGCCCCCCCACCCCGCTGTGGTCATCGTCTTCATGCTGGAGTACGTCTTCTCTGCCCCCGTCGGCAAAGAGACCATGGTAAGGAGTCTATCCTTCTACTATTATTGTTACTGCTGCGTAACGTGCACTGCTACATGCACTGCTACACTCATACCCCATTCTTGCCCTTGGGAGGTGTTTTGTAACATGGCTCTTTAATGAAATTCTTAGCTTTGAAGTGTTTACATTCTGCAAATATCTTTTCAAGCAGCAACTCTGCAGAAATGAAACGTTGATTCAAAGTGCTCAGTAAACGGCTTGTGTGGTCTCAAAATGACCAACAAATATGTCCAAAATGCCAGATTGACAAAAGTTTAGAGGGCTTTTATTCACTATCAGAGCTGTCTGCACACAAACCTTCAAGAGCGTCCGTTTTTGGGCTGTCACTAACCATCTTGATAATCGATCCGTTGGGTTGTTCGACGTAGTGGAGCGTCTGCATGACAACCGTATAGTGATTAAAATGAGTGTATTTGTGATGTGCGGGTTTGGTTTTCAATTTTTTGGATGATTTTGCAGACTGGTTTGAGTGGGTTTTTTCATGGAGGAAGGAAACAAATGATTTGGACATTTCTCACTGGACTAATGAAAATGGTTGCAACAATTGGACGGTGATATTCATGTGTTGGTTCGTCACACGGCCAGGACAAACAGAGTGGGCGATCATAAGAGCGAGGGACATTATTGTGATTAAGGATTAAGGCCTATGGTGTCAGGTCAGATTATTGTATTTGATTAGATTTGATCAAAATCAATTGTCCTGAAGTTTATTTGGCTTGAAAAAATAAACTAATCACAACCACCATAAGCACAGACGTCCACAGCAGTTCTTTGGAGTTTGCTGTTTCTATTTGCTTCTTTAGAAACTTTTTTTTTTTTTTTAAAGATACATTTTTGTCTGAATGTTTTACTGTTTCGGCCTGTCTTACTAAATATATTTTATTCTTAGAGAAAAAAATAATTGGGAATTTATGACCCGCCCATTCGCAGCTGATTGAGTTATAAAACCTCAGCATTTTTAAGTCTAAGTAAGGTTTAAGACATCAGGTTGCAGGTACTCAATCAATTACATAAAATCCTTGAGGCAAAAACTCTCTGAAACCTACCATATACGCACAGGGACCTTTTCTACATGAGCTGAGCAATTATGCTTCTAAAATGAAAATCCGTCAAATTGACTGCTCTGGGAGTTCTAGTGTCAAAGGCCGTAAAATAAGCCGTATTTAATGGTGATATTGTTAAAAGTCTACAGGAGAGCAACAAAACCAGCGCCCCCTGTTCGTGTGTTTTGTACCATCATACTGGCAGCAGCGGCTACAAAGGGAAATCCGCGATCACTCAGACGTGTGTGCTCTGATTATCCATGAGGAAACCGCATTATAACGAGCTCAATACATGTCCATCTTGTGCCTCGGAGCAGCTCCCTCTGCAGCCTCCACTTCTCTCGTCTTTTTGCCACATTTGCTCTGATTTATCATCGATTTGAGCCGAGTCTCTGACACGGATCAAATGCCCAGTTGTTAAGTCTGACAGCGTTCTGAGAGCCGCTGCACCACTCAACACAGCTCACCGCCCTCTGTAATGAGACCGCTTTTATGGTCGGACTCTGCCACCATTGTTTCTGCTCAGCTCCTTCTGTGCCGCCGCCGCCATGGATCTATAATAATAACTGGATCGGGTATTACTAGCTTATAGCTTTCCCACCAATGGGCACAGGGGGCGCCCGTGGTATTGCAGACTAAATTTACGTGGGCTACACAGATATTTTCCCCATAGATCCCAATATAAACTAAAACAGCTTGACCTCAGCTGACAGAGAACCTACAGCTTTCATAAAGTTCAGATTTTGTGGGGATGTTAGTGTCCCTTCTCATCCTGAACTTTTTTTCTTCTTAAATCCTTCGGTTTTCTTTAAATCCACACAAACTCTGCTCGTTTCCTTCCCGCTCTGACTCCGCTCTACCGCTGCTCTGATCAGCAGCTCTAATTGGTCAAAACGAGCCCCTCTGTGTACGTGCATGAGAGCCAGGCACACGTATTTGGCGCAACGCATCATGGGAGCTCGTCCACTGTGCAGAACCGGGAGGACCAGACGATGCCCAAATATAGGCGAGTTCCGCTAGCATGTCAGCGCCCGTGATGTCCCATGCGCTACTGAGTACAAGCCATGTATCATTTGAATAGGGCGCCATCTTGGGTCACCGGGGCTTGCCACTTTCTCATACACTCTCAGCACATTACCAGATTAGAAAAGCATGTTTTTGACGCCTTCTAACTTTTCTTGGCACAAACTTGATCCCCCGTAGAAGAAATTCAAGTTTACAGCAGTAAAGGTTCCATCCAGGTTTGTCGTACAGTCTGACAGCCGAAGGAACAATGGATCTCTTAAAGCGTTCTGTTCGGCAGCGTAGTGATAGGAGCCTGTTTCTTCAATTACTCCTCTGAGCAGCCATAGTGTCATGCAGAGGGTGTCTGGAGTTACCCAGGATGCCGTGCATTAGAGCCCTCATTCTTTTCTCCAGCACAGCTCCCACAGAGTCTACACTTTACCCCATCACAGAGACACATTTCCTGATCAGCCTGTCGAGCCGAGAACTAGTAGTCTGACCGTTTTCCTGTGCCACATGTGTGTTCTTTAAGACTAACCATGACTAACATTCATTATGATTCAATTGGCTGAGGTTGGTAGTAACCTCTTAAGCTTAAAGGATACAAATAAGGCTGGCGCCCACATATGCTCTGTAGATTCTGAGGTCAATCAGGACCAGAGGGGGTGACCACCACACATGAGTGGTCATACTGGTCCACTGTTTGTTATTATTCAAATTGTTGTTTCTCTTGTTCTTTTCTTTTCTTGTTCTGTTGTTCCACATTGAAATTCACATTGGGCGATTCATTTGTCTCTCTGTGAGCCCTCTCTGCTGTTTCTCATACACGGTTCAAATGATCTGAATGGCGCCGGCGTTGGCATCTGTGCAGTGGTGTTGGCGTGTGGCAGGCGGCCCACACTTCCCTGGGGACGCATCGCACCACTCAGTGGGCGCAGTAATGAAGCGTGTAGCCGAGGGCGGGCAATGCGTCTCGTACCGCGTGCCTCCGCTCGCACCCGCACGCACCACCCTGCTGCTTACATGATGTTTATGATCGATTCATCCATTTTACCTGTTAGTGGCTGTAATTGTGATTGTTATTTCTTTTTAACAATCATGCCATGCATTATCCTAGAATATTGAAAACTAAAACCATAATTTTCTGTTCTATGGTCTGGACTCAACCTCAGTTAAGCGCCTTCAGCTGGTCCAGATCAGGCATGTTCAAACCAAGGCCCACTGTGTCATTTTCTGTCCATACATGGACAATCTGGTGAACTAGTTTAGGTACCCCTTGTTTATATGAATTACTCTCTTCTCTTGAGTTCTGTAGTTTAAGTCCATGATGCATGGTTCTTTTAATGTTCAAACTCATTTTTACAAGTATGATTTTTTTTGTCTTGTCCTTTTTTTTCATCACCTATTTTCTGTTGGAAATGAGGCCGAACAAAAGTATCCCAGAGCCGTGAGAATTACAATTTCTTTCTCTCTCTGATGTAATAAAGTCCTTAATTTTCTGGGGCGGAGATTTTGAAAGCTTGTCCACAAATGAAAAGGCATTCTTGAGTAGGATGTCAGGTGTTTTACAAGAATGCAGAGGAACAGGAAGCGTGCGACTGCTGTTCGCTTTATTGTCCAAATAAAAAAAGAGTTGTGACAAAGAACTGTGTGTTGACGAATAGGAATGGTAAACTGACCGTTAATTGGTGGTTCTTTGACGGAGGATGAAAGTTGGACGCATCACACGGTCATGGATTTTCCCAGTTTTGTTGTCAGTGTGTGTGTCCATGCCGTGTTGTTTCATGTTGTTTGTATTAGGCGTGGAAGATTATGGCCTGGATGTGAGGTGCAGAGGAATTCCAGATGTTGCACGCTGTGGGATGGAATGTCAGCTGCTGCAGGACCCTAACAGGATGTGCAGCCTAACAAACGCACCCCCATTACACTGTTACCCCCCATTACCACATGTCAGAGGTGGAGATTTTAGACTGCTTCTTTATTACGCTAAAGCTAATGATGTAATGCTTGCTCTTTATTTATGCTAAAGAAAGAGATTGTAGTTTTTCAGTTATTTTAATGGTGTGATTGTTCTTTTATCATTTTACCGTGATGCAACACTGGAATTCCCACTGTGGGGACAAATAATGGAATCTCTTCATCTGAATCTTTCTTATTAATGAATTCTGGAAATTACTACAAACAGGTAGAAGTACCAACAATGCAATACGTCACACGTTATGAAGAGTTACTGAAGGTTACACTTTAAAAAACAAATAAACAAAATACAAAAGAAGTTTCTATTGAAATCAATGAAAACGTTTAAATTCTGCCAAAAGTACTGCAATTACTGTAATACTACAAGGAGTACTACAAGAAGAATACAATACTTACACTATAATTTTAAATGCACTTTACAAAGGTTGTGGGCGTGTGGTCACTCCACACAGAGATGGAGGGGTGACATGTTTTAGTGCACCCGGAGGGAAACCTACGCCGACACGGGGAGAACATGCAAACTTCACACAGATGTCTTCATTTGCGGGGGAATATTCCCGCTTGCTGCAGGTGACACACTCTACAACTGTTATGCGCAAAGCGACGCCGTCAGAATTAAATGCCATATAAGGACATTGGTTCCAGCTATTTGTGTTCAAATCGGCGTATTCCGCAATCGTAAGAAAATATTGGTAAACAATTAGCACTCGGTTGTCACTCCTAATAAGCAGTTATGGTCTGACTCGATCCAAAGACCTAAGAGAGGACCGGAGAATGAACAAAAGCAGTGCATTTTGGATCTAATTGTACAAGAAAAAGTATTCCTCCACAGTGGGGAACAGTCTAATATGCAGTGCACATACCGGCTGTAGTAAGAGCACACCACCATATCCCTAGAGTGACTTGGTTTATCATGATTAAATGGTCATTGGAAATAAGTAATGATGCAGTATTCATCTTTTTATGTCCAACACTGGTCCAATACTTTTAAGGCTAGGACTGTATATTGATTGGACAACGCTAACCGCTCTAGTTCAATTAATTCCATTAGGGAAGCGCTCATGGACAGGGTTTTATATTTGTTTTCTAATCAGGTGAAGATTGCATGATATGATCTGATTTGTTCACAGCATTGTACTTATAATCTTTGACAGAAGAATGAAAGTACTCGACGAACATTTAGTTACCACAGCTCGTATGGAGTTAGTTTGTTAAGTAGGCGCAATATGCAATCCCAGTGTAAATAGCCTGTATGCTAGATCCATCTGTTGACTCTCGGTTGTATCTCAAACAATGAACAAGGCAATGAATCAGGCAACTTCCAACAGGATCCTATCCCATCTAAACCAGTTTTTTATTTTCCTGAACACACGGAGAAAACTAATCAAACCGAAAGAAAGTGAAAAGAAACCTGTGACCTTCTGCCCACTCTGCCAATATGCCACCAAAATCCTGACCACGCTGCAAGACTCTAAAAATGAAACTCAAAGTACTATTTCTTTTGGCTACAACTAAACTATCCAATGTCTGAAAAAAGTATTTACAAATTCTGACGTTTTACTAAAGCCTATTCACTCGCCGAGTCCAATTTCATTTGATTGAGCCAGAGCCAATAAACGTTGGCGCGATTGTTGACTACATGTTCAATGGTGTATTAGATGAAACGGAAGGAAGTTCAGATTTTGCTGGGCACTGGTACTAAAGGGAAAGAACAGCAGTTGGTGTTTAGATGCGGTGGGGAAACACTCTCACACTTCACAAAGCTCTTTTTCCCCCAGCCTACTTGGGCCAGTCTGATTCCCTCTTCCTGGTTATGTTTAGTATCTGAGCTTACAAATGTGCACTATTGTTAGTCTGTTGGTTGGAAAGTAGATATAATGTAGTACTCAGAAAATTAAAGTAATCTATAATATTATAATATAATAAATCTATCTGTTCAAATCCTAGCAACCTCCCCACAGCAAAAAAACTGTATCCGGGGAAATTTGTAGGTGACATGGGCTTCAGCACTTTGGCCAATCATTGACAGTTAGAGCCACTTTAGTATGTGCTCGGTTTGTAAGAACCAAGCCAAGCCGGTACTAAAAAAAGTACTGGTGGATGGTTACCTGGTGGAAACGCTCCCAATCAGGTTGGAGTAGAACCGAGTAAAATATGAGGGCCAGTCACCTTTTCTAGAAATCTGCAACAAGGGGTTCATCCTGGACAATATCTCCAAGAGCAAATATGTGTTCTCCATTCATTCAACCATCTCCAGTCTATGTTTTTCATCTTTGCCTAATATGCATGTGAAAACTTAAGAGATCAAAATGTTTCAAAGTTGTGATTGCAATTAATGATATTTATGTTGTCACACATACCTTAAGATCAGATATCTTCCAAGCACATAGTATGATGCCAACGGAGTGTAGGGGTTCAGCCACCACCAGACTTTGTAGCACCTCACATGGTCCAAGAAAAAGGCTGTGAAAGGTTTTTGAAAACTGTGACCAATATGAAAGTACAAAGCACAGTATGACCTTTGTCTGTGCACTTATAAATACACAGCATGGTTGGCATGGAACAAAGAGGAAATATACCTAAAATTAGTCCTTTAATAGAAAGTTTCCTTTTGGTCTTTATTGTAGATAATCCACAACAAAACTGTCCATCTTGCAGTAAAGGCATGCTAAATGTGAATTATACAAGAAATATAATACAATTAACTTCAGAGTGTAAAATGTGGATTTCTTGCAACAAGCATACTACTGGAGCTATTCTGAATGGCTAAACAAACAGAACAGATGCCATGTATAAAACACATTTTGTTCATACCTGATTCAAGTCGTCCAGGAGCCTCGACCAGTGGACAGTGTGAACCCGCTGTACTCCTGCGGTAGAAAATAAGAGGCATTAAAATGAGTCCATCACGTGAAAACAAAATGAGCAGCACTTTACGTTGCACAATGCTCATAGATGGGTCTAAAACTGCTGGTTAACATTACCGTGCGACATGCTATGCTGCTAAATGAGTAGCTACCAGTCAAATGTAAAGTTGTACATCGCTTTTTTTGTCGTATGTGCAAATAAATCAATACCTGCGCAGGCTCCACTGGAGAAACCGGTCTCTCCGGAGCAGCCTCCGCGAGCGCGCACGCACACGAGTACATGTTGTGAGTGAAGAGCCGGGTCCCGCTGGTCCCGAGCGAGTGCTGTAGTCCAGCGGCACCCGGGGACCGTGCGTGTATCAGCGGCCACTGTGTGCATCTCATTCACCGAGACAAACAGACTGTAACGGAAAGTATAACGGATTAGATCTGTACAGCGTATCCGAAGCCATGGCACTTTTGTACTGGTTAGGACTCAGTAATGCAGTAAACACAGCTCACATGTCACTCCCGGTGTGTGAAGAAGGACCAAACAAACAGCACAGGCGACAAAGGCGACAGTATCTTTGAACGCAGTACAACGAACGTCAAAGAAATAGTCCCACTACAAACACAAACCCACTCAAAATTGAATAGAAAGTTGAATACCCACATATATAGCACCAACACAGATATTTAGAGTATGATTATGTGACCTATCAACAAAAAACTCGAGAAGTTTCTTTTCTCTTTACATTGCTTTGAAGGCACGAACAACACGGTCCACCTCCGCCATTCTCACAGGTTCACGACGACATAGCCTATCGCTAAGGCTGATATCTTATATTATTTTGCAAGACATACAGCTGTCTACAACAGATTAAAGAGTTTACTTACCAAAGAAAGATGTGAGGAAGATGCCAAAAGTCCCAACAGAAGTTGTAGATGAAGTCCCAACCTCTGCTACAACCATGCGGTCATGGGCGCGAAGAGTCTGCTTCCGTGTCACGCAGACGTGATGACGTCCTCAATTAAAAGTGTTTACCAAGAATAATCGAGTCAATTAACTCAACAAGTTATCTTGAATTGGATTTTTACGTTTACTGCTGAAGAGTTGTTTCAATTCATGATTTCGATTTGTGATAGCTTTTTGGGAAAAACATGCTGATTTAACTCAATATTATGGGTTGAGATAACTAAAAGTCAAAACAAGAATTTACAGTGTGGAGTCCCGTCTGAACTCACATAATCGAAAATGGAAACTTTTAAGTAACAAAAGCAGGATTCACCTCTTATTACACGGTTTTCCCTTCCGTACATTCCGATCATGTGAACCTTACAACATGATTTATGTACAACCTTTTAACTGGTGCAAAATAAATAGTTGCACTCAAACACCGGAGAGGTACGGTAATGGTATTTAGGCACAGATCACGGGCCTGAAGAGCCAGGACCACACGGTTTTAAAATAATCATTTAAATACGTGTATACGCCCATTGTACACCGAGAACCAGCCACTCCCCGGCTGGTCCAGAGGTGGACTGTGGAGTGTGAAGACAGGCTGAGGGACTGTTTTAACTGCACTTTGTGGGACGAACTGTGCGACCACGGGGACGACATCAATGCCATCACGGAATGCATAACGGATTACATCAACTTCTGTTGCGAAATCGCTGTGCCTTCCAAGATGGTACGATGCTTCTCCAACAATAAGCCGTGGATGAACATTGAGATTAAGGCCCTGCTGAAGGAGAAAAAGAGGGCCTTTCTATCAAGGGACAAACAGGCACTGAAGGAGGTACAACGGAGACTGAGGCTGAGCATCAGGACTGCAAAGGCCCGCTACAAGAACAGGATGGAGGAACAGCTGAGCCAACAGAATGTGGCGGGGGGTTTGGAGGAGCCTGAAGACCATCTCGGGCTTCAAAACACCCCCTGTCCAGCCTGTGGGGGACCCCCAGTGGGTTAATGATCTAAACCAATTTTTCCTGCGGTTTGATCAAAGACCCCCCCACCATCCAGCCGAGGCTTCTCAGGGACAAGCTGGAGACAGCTGGAGTGGACTACGACCTGTCTGAGTGGATCCTGGACTACCTCACAGACAGACCCCAGTTTGTGAGAACCAGTGACTACGTGTCTGAGGTCCTGACCTGCAGTGTGCTCGCACCGTTCCTCTTCACCCTCTACACTGCGGATTTCAGACACAACACGGGCGGTTGTGTTCTACAGAAGTTCTCTGACGACTCTGCCATCATCGGACTCAGCTCCGAGGACGATGACACAGAGTACAGAGGAGTTATACAGGACTTTGTGGACTGGTGTCAGCGGAACCACCTCCTCATCAACGCAGGGAAGACCAAGGAGATGGTGGTGGATTTCCGTAGACGTCACTCTGCCGCTCCAGCCCCAGTGAACACCCAGGGAAAGGACATCGAGAGAGTGGACTCTTACAAGTACCTGGGTGTTCATTTGAATCACAAACTGGACTGGACTCGTAACACAGATGCTCTCTTCAAGAAGGGCCAGAGCCGCCTCTACCTGCTGTGGCGGCTCAGGTCTTTGGAGTGCAGGGGCCACTCCTGAAGACCTTTTATGACTCTGTGGTGGCATCAGCCATCTTGTACGGTGTGGTCTGCTGGAACAGCAGTATCACAGAGAGGGACAGGAAGAAGCTGGACAAGGTCATCAGGAAGTCCAGCTCAGTCCTGGGCTGTTCCCTGGACACAGTGCAGCAGGTGGGGGACAGGAGGGTCCTGAGCAAACTAACATCTATGCTGGACCATGACTGTCACCCCCTGCAGGACACTCTCTCTGCTCTGGAGAGCAGCTTCAGTGACAGACTAATTCACCCTCGCTGTGTGAAGGAGAGGTTTCGCAAGTCTTTCCTTCCTGCTGCTGTCAGACTGTACAACGAGAATGTGTAACAGGAACTGCCGAGTCTGCACAAGTGTCACTGATAATTCACTAGTAACTTTGTCACTAGTCACTTTACCTGTTATCAGTACTACTACAGTATTACATATCTGATATTTACTGTTATCAGTACTACTGTATTATTTCATATCTGATAATTCTGCCTTTCACCAGTCACTTTACCTGTTGATATCTTACTGTATTATTCATATCCATCTGATAATTCTCCCATTCAAGTCACTTTACCTGTTGATATTATTTCTGATGTTTATTCTGCTCATATTCTCATATTCTCCGCTGCTAATGTATAATATAGACATCTGTAAATACTCCGAACCAAGTGCAATTATAGCCCAGAGTTTATCTTATTTTATTTTATTTTATTTTATCTTAAATTTATTGTCTATTATCTTAAATAATAGACTTTGATGTGTGCAATCTGAGTGCTCTTATTGCCTTTGTCTGCTGTAATGTGCGCAACAATGACACTGAAATTTCTCCACTGTGAGACTAATAAAGGTTTATCTTATCTTATCTTAAAGATTATGGTCTCTCTCTTTCGTCTCTCTTTGGTCTCTCTCTGGTCTCTCTCTTTGGTATCTCTCTTTGGTCTCTCTCTGGTCTCGCTTTGGTCTCAGTCCCTGGTTTCTCTCTGATCTGGTACAACCAGCAGGTTTGATTTCTCCGTTATCGAGTTCAGGTGGTTAAAAAGGTGTGTAAAGTGTGTGGTGAGGGCTTTCAAGAAGTGGTTTCTTGCTGTTTGATTCTCTGATATGTTATAAAGTCCTAGACTGCTGTACACAAATAAACGTAATTTTATTTATGTGGAATTGACCCCGGGACTTCTTGCTATGCACAAGTGCTAACCACTGTGGCACCGTGCTGCCCATCTGTGAATGTGTGGAGCAATCTAAAGACTGACAGTTCTCCAGTACCCGGGCTGGATGGCTGCTCGCTGATTTAACAGCTCTGCTCCTCAATTCTGCTCTGCTGTTATTGTTGATTGCTGTGAGCGTAAAGCAGTTATGGATTACATTTTCATATTGAATTCCTCTCCTTCTGAAATGAGCATTTCTTATGTTTCCGGCTAATCCCCAGGCCTCTTCTCCTCATCTCGCGCTCCGTGCCAGGAGGACAATCGATCTCCCAAAATGACACGCTGCTGTGGAATGATTTGTGATTATGCTAAATAGATACTTTGGGAAATGAAGCGAAATCAGTGTTCAGTGCCAGCGTTTGATACTGTCACTATATCTCTGTGTTTACTCTGTATGTCCTTCTTTTCACCAATTTCAGGACGGTTACTGTTCGATGATAGTCAGTGAAATATATGGTATTTAGGACAATTTTGCCGAAAGTCCTCTCCTACCTTTCTCCTAGTGTTCTGCCGTTCCTCTTCTGTTTTACCTTTAATCTTATGCCGGTCCTCTCCTTTCTTTCTCCAAGTGTTATGCCGGTCCTCCTCCTTTTCCTAGTGTTAACACATATGCATCATAGAACTACACATATGTACAATAGTGTTTTTCAAAGATACCTTAAACTATCTGAACAACACCATGTATTGAGCTGAAGGACACAGAGCTTCTGTTTTCCAGGTTCAGGATCCTGTGTGTGTGACATCACTCAACAGTCTATAACTCTTAATTGTACAAATTGGATCGACTCTACTCAGTGCATCCTTCCCCATGCCACTAGATGGTGCTGTGCACTGATAGATGACTGCTCTCTCCCTCCGCTCTCATTCGAGCTGCTTTTTCTGATTTAATACACACACAGGCGTTTGATGTATTCTGAGGGGGCTGAGGTGAGGGAACCGCTAAAACAATTCAGCACAGCTCCTGCTCCATCAAAATCTACTCCTGCAATTCTGGCGCAACTGCCGCCCCAGGGCTGGAGCTGTGTGCGGCTGTAGCTCTGTACTGGAGCTGGCTGGGTGCGGTAGCAGGGCCGGCTGTGGGAGCTGGCCGGCGGCATTAGTTGGACAGACCTGCTTCACTGCTCATTTAGAGCTGACCGTGATTTATGTTACTTGATTGATCTGTAGATTTCTCACAGATTTTCAGGTCTTTTAATAGTTTAGGGTTAGGTAAGAAATTGTCTTCTTAGTAGATTAAGTTGTTTGGTTCTTCTATACCAGACAAATATAGGATAGCAACTTACTATTACTATTATGTACGTGCGTAGATGGAGGACACATGTTCACTAAATATCAGCTGCATGAGTTCAGTCAATCTGACGTCAGGGAAAAACGCAGGTCGGAAGTGGTGGGTACTTCCGCATCGGCGAACACGTTAACAGCCACAGTAGAATGTCAACTTAGGGTGAAAACATATGTTCACAAGCACCGCATCCCCCATTATCAGTTCCGGTTTAATCCTAGTATGCTCTCTGATTGGTTGCCGCACGTGTATGGAGCGAGGACGTTCATACGCTATTCAAACACGGATTTCTTTGACAGTAAACGGTATCAGTATAAAAATAGTTCTACACTGGACGCATTTGATCCAATACTATGACACTAAAGCAGGCTACACCAGAACTCAACTGGGCTGAACCAGGTCTACAGCACGACTGAAACAGGACTGAACCAGGACTGAAGTGGAACTGAGGGATTGAGGCAGGACTAAATCAGGTCTATAGCAGGACTGAGACAGAACAAAAGCAGGTCTGTAGGAGGACTGAACCTGGACAAAAGTAGGTTTACAGCGCACTGACACAGGACTGATAGACGAGGGCGATGGGCCTAGTATCATAACAGTTTTTTCAAAAGATGAACCCAGCTTTGTTTCCCAATACTGCTTTCCCCTCAGGAATCACAACTTTCCCATCAAAACATCAATGAAAGTTTCTCAGTTTTGAATCAATAGTGTAAAAATTAGTAGCAGCCAGCATCAAAGTTTGTTAAAATGCATTTTCCCGTCTGCAGTTGGTCCAAAACTCATCGGCACGACTTTTAACAGGAAGCAGAAGGCGCGATCTTATCACACCAATTCTGGCTTCGTTGCACTGGCTTCCTGTTCATTTTAGAATTGATAGTTTTGAATGGACTGGCCGCTTCTTACATCTTGGACCTCATCCAAATTAGGACGAGACTTAAAACCCGGGGGGACCGGGCCTTCTCTGTGGCTGGACCAAAGCTATGGAACGCTCTGCCCCCCATATTCAAACTGCTCCTTCTGTGGAGTGTTTTAAGTCTCGTCTTAAGACCCATTTTTATGCTCTGGCTTTTAACACTGTGTGAGTTGTATGGTCCTTTTATTTCATTTCATTTTATTGCATTTTGTTTTTGTTTTCATTGTTATTTTTATATTTATACATACACACAGTTCTTCATATTTGATTTTTAATGATTTTACTGTTTTACTATGGATTTGTTTTAATTAGTATTCTATTGTGCAGCACTTTGGAAACTGTGTTTATGAAATGTGCTATATAAATAAAGTGGATTGGATTGGTTAGTTTGTTAAAGAGTGTAATTTCAGATTGAAGTGAATATGTTAAATGCAGGATATATTATGTACAATTAAAAAGTGGCAATTAAAGAAACAGTGGCAGAAGTTGTACAGGTTTTTTAGTCCTAGTGCAATTGACTTAAAGTGACTTATTGTACAGTCTGACAGCGGTGGGGATAAAGGCCCCTGCGGTAGCACTCCTTCTTCCACTGAAGGAGCTCCTCAGCTCCTCTACAGTCTTGTGCAGTGGGAGGTGTTGTTCATGATGATCAAAATCAGATGTTTAATCTCCATCTGTGCTAAACTCATCTACTTCTGTCTAAATCCTTATTTCAAAATACATTACACTATGACAGATTCTTATTAACATGCTTATTACTATTACCTCAGTCAAAAAACACAGATGTTTAAACTGTAGACCAGGGGTGTCCAAACTTTATAATATAAGGGCGAGTTCATATTATCTTTACACAATAATGCTGCAAATAAATGAAAACCTGTTCAAATCTATTCAAAATGCTTTTGTGTTTGACACTTTGTGAGTGATTCAAAAGTCCTGATATTTTGCAGGAGTTTAAAACTTGATTCCCCCTAAAAGCAGCACACGTCTCTAAATCTAAATATGACACAGTGCGGTTGTACTTTTCAGCCCTGTGACTGCTTCATCTGGCGGTTTGCATTGAGCTGTGGATAATTGCTTCATCTGCCACTTTCTGTTTCCTAAAACATCTTAAATATGGCTGTGCTAATGACAAGGCTGTGTGTGGGAGAGCGGGGCATGGATGGTAAACAGGAGAAAGACGGATCTATCAGAGGTGTTGCGAGCTGCGGCAGACTTTCCTCTAATTGGATGGCGCAGACACTATAGATCCTGCTGCCTCTGAATGTGCTAAACTTTAATGATGTTTGTTGAATCAAAGTGCTGTGTGCTGGCTCATTAAGGGCCACTGTTTCCCTGACGCCCACCTCTCCAGCATGACCCACAATGCACCACTGCTCACTCCTGGAACTTGGGACCAGTCCGAATGGAAAACACTTAACAGGCTCATGTGACATCATAAATGTCAAAATGGCCACCAGCAAAACCATAGAGCAGTTGTAGGTCTCTCTTTGGTCTCTCTTTTGTCTCTGGTGTTTCTATGGTCTCTGGTCTCTTTCTGGTCTCTCTGTGGTCGCTGGTGTCTCTCTCTAGTCCCTTTCTAGTCTCTCTCTGGTCTCGCTCTAGTCTTGTCTCTCTCTCTCTCTTGCAGAGGTGGGACATAGTCATTGTTTGTCAAGTCCCAAGTCAAGTCCCAAGTCAAGTCCCAAGTCAAGTCCCGAGTCGAGTCCAAGTCAAAGGCCAACAAGTCTCGGGTCAAGTCCCAAGACCTACGGTTTGACTTTCAAGTCTTTTTGTTGGTCTCCACGTAACTTTTGTAGGCAAAGAAAATAAAAAGAATAATTTTGCTGGTGCATTCACCTTTGTTGTCTGGCCCATGGACAAATAGCTTGTTCCATGTGGTGCTCACATGGAACACACATTTATGGAGATAGAGCAGTCCGAGTCAACATTTTTTTTATCTTCAGGGTTTTTATGGGAAGTAGCAAGTGTAGCATATATGAATAGTGTGCTTATATCAATTAATTAATCTCAATATTAACACACCCACCAGTATATGTAGTGCTGCTGCGGGGGAATTCACTTTCAAACTCTCGCTCAAGCGAGACATTTTCTCTTCAGAGACGACATAAATAAAAATTAGGGATGCACCGACGCGGGTCAATACCATAAGCTTGTACTCGTACTCATAGCATAGGACCCAATGCCCTCAACCGATACCCAATTTTTTTTAATCTACATTAGCTTATTGACAGCAGACAGCTGCACATGCGGCACATGTTACCATGTTGATCTCCCAAAGTCGGCAGCGTGAAGGCAAGCTAGCGGCACGGTGGCTGAGTGGATAGTACTCTCACCTCTCAGCAAGAAGGTCCTGGGTTCGAATCCCGGTCGGACCAGGGCCTTTCTGAGTGGAGTTTGCATGTTCTCCCCGTGTCTGTGTAGGTTTCCTCCGGGTGCTCCGGTTACCCCTACCACTAAAAACATGTAAAATAGGTCTGGCATGTGCCTCCTGTACTGGCCCCCCGCTCCCATCTGTGTAGAGTGAGAGGACAAATGCCCAAAAATAACAAATGTAAACCGCTTTGTGACTCTGGTCTGTGAAAGGCGGTATATAAATAAACATTACTTACTTACTTACTAGCGGCAAGCGGACGGGACAGCAGCAGGGAGGCAAGTTCGCAGCAAGCAGACAGGTTATCGGTCGTATAGCAGGTTGTTAAAGGAAACGAGTGACAAGAGTAAAGAGAATTGTACGTTGTGTAAAGCAAAACTTTCATGAGGTGGATCCAAAACACTAGCAACTTGATCAAACATCTGAAAACTCACTATCACCTTTGCTAGAACTGGAGCCATTTGTACCTTTTGTATGGATAACACAATGCACTACTCGTATCGGTATTCGGTATCGGCAAATTAAGGTACTCATACTCGTATCGGTTTGGAAAAAAGTGGTATCCCTAATTAGAATAGAGCTGCGGAACGTATGTAACATAAGTCTTTACAAGTCAATAGGCGCAAGTCCAAGTGAAAGTCTGAGTTATTCATGTTAAAGTCCAAGTCGAGTTGCAAGTCTTTTTGTTTTGTCAAGTCCATTCATCCATCCATTATCTTCCCCTTAGTCTATTTCTGGGTCGGGGGTGGCAGTCAGAGCTGCACCCTGTACACAGAGCACCAGCCCCTCACTGATCCTCCTGCAGGTGGTGAGTCCACAGGAGTCAAGTCTAAAGTCGTCAAATTCATGACTACAGTCGTTGTCACATGACTCAAGGCCACACCTCTGCTCTCTGTTCTCTCTCTGGTCTTTCTCCGGTCTCTCTCTGGTCTCTTTCTGGTCTCTTTCTGGTCTTTCTCTGGTCTTTCTCTGGTCTTTCTCTAGTCTTTCTCTGGTCTTTCTCTGGTCTTTCTCCGGTCTCTCTCTGGTCTCTTTCTGGTCTCTTTCTGGTCTCTTTCTGGTCTTTCTCTGGTCTTTCTCTGGTCTTTCTCTGGTCTTTCTCTAGTCTTTCTCTGGTCTCTCTCTGGTCTCTCTTAATTTCTGAACAACACTGTGACATCATCAGCAAACAAAAGGCACTTTCCCTGTTACCTCTCAGACGTGGGTAACTCAGAGCTCTAGTTCAAACCATTATCGTCAAACTTCCAGCGAGCTCTTGCTGAAAGCTGTCGCGCCACATTACACCAAGGGCTGCGTCTGACATTTAACACGGAGCCATTATCTTGTTCCTGCTCCAGTGGACATGCATCTGAAGAACACGCAGTCGGAGTCAGTACTGCAGATACAGCTCACTGTTCATTGTGCATTTCCATAATGAACAGTACACCGATGGACAATGCTAACCCACTAGCTCAATGAAACACAATAGGGAAGTGGTCATGATGAAATTTTGCTCCACCTCCCTCTGGCTCCTGTTGACTTACATGTAAAGGTAAACTCCTAGGTCTGAAATGCATGGACCGCCACTCCATTACCTTGGTAAATGCAGATGAGCCATAAAAGGATTGACCAATCCGATTCACAGGGGAATCTCCAACTTGGCTTAGAATTTAAACCAATGTAAATTTGTACTCCCACAACAGCATATAACCGCTAGTATAACATTACTATTACCTTTATTTAACGACAGAAGAAAACCTTTCTGGCTTGTGTGCACCGCGGTGAGCAGTTTAGAGGACTACTGGCTCCTCCTCGCTCTGGGGCCAGGACTCCCTTGAAAAAGAGATTCTGAAATCTCAATGGGACTTAAAGACCTTCTGGTCTATGGTTTGATGGAGAGATTCCCAAAACTGGAGGCAGTAGTTTTTCTTAAAAATAAATCATATTTATAGTTTGAAAGAGGAGCATTTAGACAGAGGGGTGAGAGGGCAATAGTTCCACTGAGTTCATCAGTGCACTAGACACGTGCCACCACCAGCGGGTAGCGGGCCTGCAGCGGCGACCTGACCTCCAGACAAGCCTTGGAGCCCCCCGTGGGCCACATGACTGAGCCCGGCTAATGGGCTCATCAAAACCGAGGCTCAAGGCTAAAAAAGAGACCTGAACATTTGCATATAAATAACTGCGGTTGCAGTGTCCCTCTGGGCGGCACGGTGGCTGAGTGGATAGCACTCTCGCCTCTCAGCAAGAAGGTCCTGGGTTCGAATCCCGGTTGGACCAGGGCCTTTCTGAGTGGAGTTTGCATGTTCTCCCCGTGTCTGCGTAGGTTTCCTCCGGGTGCTCTGGTTTCCCCTACCACTAAAAATATGTACAATAGGTCTGGCATGTGCCTCCTGTACTGGCGACCCCACTCCCAAAAAAAACAATTGTAAACCGCTTTGAGACTCCAATGTGCAGTGAAAAGGCGGTATATAAATAAAAGATTACTAGATTACTTACTTACCCCCTTCAAAATGTTTTTTTTTTTTTCAGCTAGTGCAGTGCATGGGTACTCTACTCTACCTGGTTGTTTCCATTACTTTTTTATATATATGGATTGAAACAGAACGTCCTCTGAGGGGCGCTGGTGGCCCAGGTTGGGGTTGCGGCCCTATGTTTAAGAATCACTGGCTGAGACTGTGCTGTATATCATGTATACTGCTTGTAGTCGGTAATATTCCGGGGAAGTAGGCGTAATGATCAGCAGAGCAGTTGTGCACCATGAGCCGGAGTGCTGTGTTAAGTGGTAAATGAAGACATTAGTCTAAAGCGCCTGGGCGTGTGCATGGAGCTGCAGTCATTTAAGCTGCATTCCTCTGTCTCTCTCACTTTCATAAGCACTGACAGGACACAGACTGCTTCTGTTGACCCTGAGCACTATCTCTTTCTCTCATTCTCTTTGTACCCACCTGTTTCTGCTGTCTGCAGTCTGCGGTGATTCTTCTTCATCAGTCACTTCAGGCTCAGATATATTTGCCTTTTTTACAAACCTGTATAATTTCTCTCAGTATGGAAACCAATGTTCTCATGGATTAATATGTGGACTACTTGATTAAAGCACGACCCCTCTGACTCTGAGTCTGAGGTCAGACATTCACATACCTCAGGCAGTAAGCAGTCAAATGTAAATGTATTGATTATATGTATGTTTTTTATGAATGTATGTATGACGGTAACCCCTGACCTATGGGGTCAGAGCATACATTAAATTACATACAGTACATTGCATTTTTATATCACAAGCTAACATACTTAAAGGATACAACATTCATACATTGCATATTAGTGCACTTTTAAATTCATCCAGAAATCAACATTCAGTAATTCAATAATATTTCTAAACACAGCAACACAAGTGAAGAGTGAAAAATGGAGAAGCCTCAGGGTAGCCCATATTGAGAGATGGATCCACTCCCATCGACCAAGCCTATAGAACCAGGACTGAGGCTGTAGATCCAGGACTGAGGCTGTAGATCCAGGACTGAGGCTGTCGAATCAGGGCTGAGGCTGTAGATCCAGGACTGAGGCTGTAGATCCAGGACTGAGGCTGTCGAATCAGGACTGAGGCTGTAGATCCAGGACTGAGGCTGTAGATCCAGGACTGAGGCTGTCGAACCAGGACTGAGCTTTCAGTGGAGCTTTGACCCACTCTGACGATGGAAGACGCTGCTCAGGGTGCTGCTCAGGGTGCTCCACAGCCTCTTGAGCAGAGACAGTGAAGCGCTCAGCTTGAGATGGTGGGTGTAATGGGCTCCCCCGGATGTTGGCGCGCCCTGCTGAACGCACTTTCTGTGGTATGTCCTGACGCTGAACAGAGCGCTGGAGTCGGGCACTTGTGAGCGTAAATTGGCCTGGGAAGCTCAGCATGTCACGGCTGGCTGATATCTGCAGATGGATGATGCTCTCCTGCTAACAATGCACCGCTCATGGCTGCTGGAGTCCAAACCTTACAAACGCATCAAATTCAGGATGTTACGCTCAGTTTTTCACTCCTTTTTGCCCCATTTTTTGCTGTTTGTGGGTGGGTGGTGGTGTGTGTGTGTGTGCGTGGCTTTTCTCCTGAGAGAGAAATGTAAAGAGTCACTTACAAAACATATTTCTACTCTTTGCACTTACGAAACACAAGTTATCTCTCAAACCTTTGTTTTGCTTTCAAACCTTTTTCATAGTACCAAATTTAGTATTCAATTATTATGATAAATGTAATTTGCTAAATGTATTAGGGCTAACATTTCATACTATTATTGTATTTTGTGGAATAGTTAAGAAGAGATTTCGAATAATAATAAAAATAATTTGAATGCTTTAAAGTCGCGTTTGACTCATGGAAAGTTTTCATCAGCTTCTGACCTATGGAGCTATTATTGTTTCAATAATATTTGTGTGTGCGTAAACAGATTTGTGCGTGCGTAACCAGATTTGTGTGTGCGTAACCAGATTTGTGTGTACGTAAAAAGATTTGTGCGTGCGTAACCAGATTTGTGTGTGTGTAAAAGAAATATTTGTGCGAGTGTAAATAGATTTGTATGTACGTATCAAGATTTGTGTGTGCGTAAAAAGATTTGTTTGTGCGTAGAAAGAGTTGTGTGTGTGTAAAGAAAAAAAAAGGTACGTTTTACACACAAGTTTTTTTTTTACACACAAATCTTTTGACGCAGTCCTGCCTTCGCAGATTCGCAAGTGTAACTTGGACTGTGTGCGTGCGTAAACAGATTTGTGTGTGTGTAATTTGACATTTGTATCTGTAGCAGAACAATCTGTGTGTAAATAACCACGTTGTACAAAGAGAAGAACGGAAAAAAGCCTAAGTGCTACGCACAGGCTCTGTTTTACACACGAATCTCTTTTTGACACACCTCTGCCGCCAAGCGTGTGTCAAAAAGATTCGTAAGTGTAATGTGGTTGTTCTAGCAGTACACCAGCAGATGGTGCTGTTGTAGCTGGTTATTACCTACACGCAAGCAAACCAGCTGAGTTTGTGGCACTAAAGTGTAGATAGAGAAAACCGAAGGATTTAAGAAGAAGAAAAGTTCAGGATGACAAGGAACACTAAAATTCCCACAAAATTTTTATTTTTATTTATTTTTATTTATTTATTTATTTGACAGGGACAGTACAAAAAAAACATTGTCACCCACAGGTAACCGATGTGAAGTACACAAGGCTTCTAGCCAAAGGCTAATTTGCAGCCCCCGTCCCTGGTCCGACCTTTATGAAAGCTGTAGGTTCTCTGTCAGCTGTTTTAGTTTACTTTGAGTTCTATGGGGAAAATGTCTGTGTAGCCCACGTGAATTTAGTCTGCAGTACGCTAGAATCCCTCAGCTCCAAGCTAGTAACACCCTATCCAGTTATTATAATAGATCCATGTATAATACAGTGGTGTGAATGACAGGATTTTGAAAATAGGAAAAAAATATCATAAACAGCTGCGGTAGTATGTCTTGTCAAGGCAGTAGGTTTTGGTTTGCTTGCGTGTAGGTAATAACCAGCTACAACAGCACCATCTGCTGGTGTACTGCTAGAACAACCACATTACACTTACGAATCTTTTTGACACACGCTTGGCGGCAGAGGTGTGTCAAAAAGAGATTTGTGTGTAAAACAGAGCCTGTGCGTAGCACTTAGGCTTTTTTCCGTTCTTCTCTTCGTACAACGTGGTTATTTACACACAGATTGTTCTGCTACAGATACAAATGTCAAATTACACACACACAAATCTGTTTACGCACGCACACAGTCCAAGTTACACTTGTGAATCTGTGAAGGCAGGACTGCGTCAAAAGATTCGTGTGTAAAAAAAAAAACTTGTGTGTAAAACGTACCTTTTTTTTTCTTTACACACACACAACTCTTTCTACGCACACACAAATCTTTTTACGCACACACAAATCTTGATACGTACATACAAATCTATTTACACACGCACAAATATTTCTTTTACACACACACAAATCTGGTTACGCACGCACAAATCTTTTTACGTACACACAAATCTGGTTACGCACACACAAATCTGGTTACGCACGCACAAATATTATTGAAACAATAATAGCTCCATACTGACCACATCAGCTCAGAGACCATGAGGACAAACACATACAGTATGTGAGTTTTGTTGCTCTACATCAGCCATTCCCAAACTCAGTAACACCGAGGCCCCCTTAAAAATCTGACGGGTCTGCGTGGCCCCCCAAAATAATAACCAAGAAGACAACATTAAGAATAGGCTCTTCTGGTTATTTTATTTTGGGGAAATAGTCTCTGCTACAAACATTGTAATACAAAAATGATTACAGTGGATTATTCAAGTCAAATAATGAACACAAATATTTTAATATTACAAACAAAACATTATAAATTTAACATTAAATAATTATATTATTTTTTTATTTTTTTTATGACCTCCCGCGGCCCCCCTGCAGTACCCTCGCGGCCCACCAGGGGGCCGCGGACCCCACTTTGGGAGACACTGCTCTACATCAATTGTCTGGCCCGTACTGTCCTCTACACTTCTACATAGACCACACAGGAAGAGCATCAGCAGCCTCCATCCATCCATCCATCCATCCATCCATTTTCTTCCGCTTCATCCGTTGCCGGGTCTCTAAGCAGAGACGCTCAGACCTCCCTATCCACACACACTTCCTCCAGCTCGTCCGAGGGGACCCCAAGGCGTTCCCAGGCCAGCTGAGAGACATAGTCCCTCCAGCGTGTTCTGGGTCTTCTCCGAGGTCTCCTCCCGGTGGGACGTGCCCGGAACACCTCCCCAGGGAGGCGTCCAGGAGGCATCCGGAACAGATGCTCAAGCCACCTCAACTGGTTCCTCTCAATGTGGAGAAGCAGCGGCTCTACTCCGAGCTCCTCCTGTGTGACTGAGCTCCTCACCCTATCTCTAAGAGTGCGCCCAGCCACTCTGCGGAGGAAGCTAATATCGACCGCTAGTATCCGCGATCTCGTTCTTTCGGTCATTACCCAAAGCTCATGAACCTAGGTGAGGGAGGGAACGAAGATTGACAGTAAATCGAGAGCTTTACCTTTCGGCTCAGCTCCCTCTTTACCACAACAGTTCGATACAGCGACCGCATCACTGCGCACGCTGCACCGATCCGCCTGTCAATCTCACGCTCCATCCTTCCCTCACTTGTGAACAAGACCCCGAGATACTTGAACTCCTCCACTTGAGGAAGGACTGCTCCACCCACCTGGAGAGGGCAAGGCACCTTCTTCCGCCTCGGATTTGGAGGTGCTGATTCTCATCCCAGCCGCTTCACACTCAGCTGCAAACCGTCCCAGTGCATGCTGCAGGTCCTGGTTTGTTGGAGCCAACAGGACAACATCGTCCGCAAACAGCAAAGATTAAATCTTGTGGTCTCCGAACCGGACCCCCTCCGACCCCTGGCTGCGCCTAGAAATTCTGTCCATAAACACAGTGAACAGAACCGGTGACAAAGGGCAGCCCTGGCGGAGGCCAACATGCACCGGGAACAGGTCTGACTTACTGCCGGCAATGCAAACGCAGCTCTGGCTCCGGTCATACAGGGACTGGACGGCCCTCAGCAGAGGGCCCCGTACTCCCGGAGAACCCCCCAAAGGACACCCCGGGGAACACGGCCAAACCCGTTAGTTAGTTAGTGAGAGTTAGTTAGAGCATTAGCAGTTAGTGGAAAAACAAGGAGACCCAAAATGCAAAAAATGCAAAATGATAGATTTAATAAAAGTAATACAAATCAAGACCTACCAAAAACACAGGGAACGAGGACAGAACTAAAACAGACAAGGAATGACAATGACGGAACAGGGAGTGAAGGAACACACAGGACTAAATACAAGACTAACGGGACACAGGTGAGACACATGAGGGCAGGGCAGGTAATCAAACAGGAAGTACAACCAAATGAGACACAGGGATTAAACAAACTACAAAATAAAACAGGAAATAAATCTAAACCATGACAGTAGGGACAACTGGGGAGGAAGAGGGAAGGAAGAGGGGGCAGGGGCAAGGGGAGGGGCAGGGAGCAAGGGAGGGGAGGTGGGAGAGGGGGCAGGGGAAGAGGGGAGGGGCAGGAGCAAAGGGGAAGGGGGGATTGTAGTGGAAGTAGGGAGAGAGGGGAGGGGTCAAAGAAAGCAGAGCAGCAGACAAGGGGAGGAGAGGAGGGGGAGCACAGCAGGGAGGCAAGGCAAGGGGGAGGGGCAGGGAGCGCAGCAAGAGAAGAGGGGGGGGGGGAGGAAAGAGCAGGCAGGGGGAGAGGAGGAGGAGGGCAAGGAGGAGACAGGTGGGAAGGGGGGAGGTAGGTGGAGGAGAGGAGCAAGAAGGGGGGCAAAAGGCCAGGGCAGGGGGGGGGGGAGGGACAGAGAGGCAGGAAGGGAGGGGGGGACAAGAAAGAGAAGGCAGGGGGAGGCAGGGAGGGGGGGAGGGAAAGGAGAGAAGAGGGAGGGGACAGCAGGGGGAAGAGGGGGATGGAGGGGGGAAGGCAGGGAGTAGGGGCAGGCAGGAGGTAGGAGGCAGAGGTGAGGGGCGGCCCCCCAAGGGAAGGAGGAGGACTAGAGAGGGGGGTGGGCCAGAGAAAGGAGAGGAAGAGGAGGAGAAGAGAGAGAGGGGGGAGAGCGGAGAAAGGAAGTCAAGGAGATGCACAGGAGGAGGAGGAAGGGGGGCAGATTGAGAGGACAGGGAAGGAGTGAGGAAAGGCAGAGCAGGGCAGAAAGGGGAAGACGGGGGAGGCAGGAGACCCAGCCAGGGGACAGGGAAGGGGGCAAGAGGGGAGGATGGAGGGGGGGAGAGGGGAGGGGCAAGCAGTGGAGGGAGAGGGCGGCAAGGGAAGAAGGAAGGGGGGAGGAAAGAACGGGAAGGGAGGAGGGGAGAGGGAGGAGGAAAGGGAAGACAGAGGAAGCAGGGGGAGAGGAGGCAAAAAGGGAGGGCAGGGGGGCTGGCCAGGAGGGAGGTAAGGGGGAGCAGAGGGGCAGGGCACAGGCAGCAGAAGAAGGGAAGAGGGGGAGGAGGAGAGGAGGGGGAGCGAGTAGCAGAAGAGGGGGGGAGGGAGGGGGGTGGAAGGGCCCAGAGGGAGACAGGGGCAAAGATGAGCGAAGGGAGCAAAGAGGCAGGCACAGGAGGGGGGAGGGAAGCAGGGGAAAGAGGAGGATGCAGGGGGAGGCAGGGGAGAAGGGGGGGGAGGGGGGGAGGGGGAGCATGGGCAGCAAGGAGGAGAAGCGACTACATGGGGGTCGTGTCTGTGTTCCAATTTGTGTCTTTAAACGTTTAGTGAGTGGCAGTACCTCAGGTGTCCCAGAAAATCCAACCAGGGTGATGTGCTCCTCAGAGAGCAGGACAGGGCGTATCTTTGTATTGATGGTAGAGTAGGTGGCGCCAGTGTCCACCAGGGCCATCAGGTTGTCGTCCTCCACCCTTATGGGAAGCATAGGCTCTGCAAGCACCTTGTCCCCTGGATTTCCTAGGCAGCCCTAGTAAGATTGTTCATGTTCATACTCGCCCCAGTAGTTCCCATGCTGGAAATATTGTCCATCTCTCGGGGCCAGGTTGTCATTCGGAGCCGTCCATGGGGAGGGAGGGCCTGCGCGCTCTGGTCTGGGTCCCATGCCTCTCTGGGGGCCCCTCCCACGCACCATCTCAGGCGCTCCATGGTAGTAGGAGGCCTCTCCTTCAAAGGGGCAGTCCTTCGCCCAGTGACCGTGCCTGTAACAGAGGTGACACACATCCCTGCCCCCTTTCCAGCTTCCACCCCTTCTTCCTCCCCGGCCCCCACGCCCACCACCTCTGGCCCCTCCCCTTGTCCAGTCCTGTCGTGGTGGAGTGGGAAGTCCAGCAGGCATATTAGTCATCTGATTACTAGTTCCTTTTTTATTTTGGGTGGCTTTATTTCTCGCTTCACTAAGCTGTAACTTCAAAAGTTGACAAGTCATATCTTCAACACTCTTTCTTTCTTTAGTTTTATTTTCAACATATCGCTTAATGTGAAAGATTAAATTTGTTTTCCACTGTGCTGAATCCAGGTTAATATTATCTGGGTTGTCTTCAATCTTTGAGCGTATTGTTTCTGGTAAACCATTCAAAATAGCTGCTCTAAAAGGCATGACTTCACTGACCTTGTGAGGGTGTCTTCCTACTGTGTCCATCCACTTGGTCACACTCCTGTCATAAAATACAAGTGGGTCCTCAGACTCCAGCCAAGTTAACTCACGAGGGGCAGAAGACAGCGGAGTTGGAAAGTTTTCCCTCAGTGCTTCATACCAGGCATTTGCATATTGGCCAAATCTGGAAGAATCACAAACATCAGCAGTACCAGCTTGTCTTTCAATAGCGTCTCTCTCCCAAGGTTTACTGCATGCTGCCATCACTGCCCGGACGTCACCCATCGCGACATCATGACCTGTAAACCATGTGTTCAGACTGGAAATCCAGTTTCCAGCTCCCTGACACAATGGAGGCATTTTGTCTTTTATAGTCTGCATGTCACTTACAGAAAAAGGATGGTACTCCCCAGCTGCGCCTCGTCCTGGTCTCAGAGGGAACATGGATTTTGTCTGAGACCTGGTTCTGCTTGCCACCGGTCTAGTTTCTCCAGGCTCCTGGTCTCCGTCATCACTACTGTCAGAAGAGAATTTAGCTCCTTTTTTAGCCTGTTTAGCTTTAAGTACTGGTGGGGCCATGGCACCGTCTCCCTTGTCACTTTCACTGTCCGTCCTAGTCATGGCTCTGCGTGCGGCTTTATTAATTAATTTTGCATTCTCCTGTCTAGCGGTCTCGTAATCATGGGTCCTACTTGGGGTTTCTTCTCTCTCAACTCTGTCTGTGGTGCATTCAAAGGTCGGTTTCCTAGCTCTAATATTTCTGAGAGAGTGCAGGAGCAGCTCCTGCACCTCTTGGATGGGTGGGGGTTGGTGAGGGGTGTGTGGGAGCTGTGGCGGGAGGCTGACAGCTGGATTTTGACTCGGATCTCTATTGTCCCCCACAGACTCCTGTTCTGTCCCTTCGTCAAATTCACTGTCTACAAAGTCATTGTCCCCTCTCTTTCCTACCGCCACTTCTCCTGAAAATGTATATTGTGGCAATATTAGATTTGGCTTACCTGGTTCTAAACCTAGAGAGTACTTTGGTGGAGCCGTGGGTAGGGATGGGTATATATTACTCACCGGCATTGCTCCGTTTTCTGTTTCCTTGTCTTTACTTACCATCAGTAATTTTGCCAACGCCGTGGCAGCCAAAGCAAAATTATGTACCTTGGTCCTCAGTTTCTCAGCCTTTTTTAGTTTCTTTTTAATTTTTCTACGCTCATTCCAACTCTCTCCTTGCTTTCCCTCAAGCTCAAGTTTATCCTGTTTTAAATTATTTTCCTCTTCCCGCAATATCTTAGCCAATGCGGACGCTGTCATATACTCAGGTATGACCCTTTTGTTCTGTATTTTTTCCCAAGCTTTCACAGCCTTTCGTTTTGCCTTGTTCCTATATTTTTTATCCAGACCACTCAGAATCTGAGCCTCTATTTCTCTATATAGCTGCTCGATTGGAATGCCTGTCTCCATTTTTCGGGGGGGCCCAAAATTCCCCCAGGTTCCAATGGTGAAAACCTAACTTGTGTGTTGACGCGTCCGTCAACCACGCTAGTCACAGCGGGCTTTCCTGTTTCTGGCAAGGCTTCTCAAAAAATCTTTACTTTTAATGTATTCTCGCAGGGTTCTAGCTACTTAGACTCCTATTTTATTTAATTTTAACGTATTTTCGCAAGGCTCTCACTACTTTTTAGGCTTTTACTATTTTTACTTTTTGAATTAGCTCCTCCGTGGACAAAACTCCTCTCCCCTTAATTTGTGTAGTCCAATATGCAGATTTTTAATTAGTCAAAAGGTATCTGCTTACCTTCAGTTCAGCGGCCGCTTTGAGGAGAGACGCAGAGTCCAAGGGAAGGCGAAAAGTCATCAAAGGGATCACGTCGAGGGTCACCAATTATCGTATTAAAAAATGACGTGTTCAAAATCCCTTATAAAGATGACCATGATTCAGAAAGTTAAATTCAAAAAGGTTTATTTCCCTAATACAAAAAGAATCTAACACAACGACCTGGACCAACTTTAACTATCCCTTATTCCCTATATAAAGTATAAAGTATGACTTTGGTGGGCGCTCCACGCAAAGTCACACTGCTGTCCCTGATCCAGTTTAGTCTAAAAAACAAGCATGAGGTTATTTAAGCAAATGTGCATGAAGAAGGGGGCGTGTCGTTTCTCTCGGGTCCCGGGTCCGGCCTCCATCATGTCTTCTCCGTCTCGCCAGACCTAAACAGAAATCATTCACGCACTACCCCTCCCTAATTCTATAGATTTATTAGTTCCTTTGAGATAAGGCAGAAAGCTCTCCTTCTTTCACAACTTGAAAAGATTAGCAGAATCCCCCCAGATTAACTATCATTAACTCACCCATGCACTTTGGACAAAATGGGACCAGGGGAGTTGGGCAATACAAGGTCTTTCTTTTTGCTTGGAGACAGACAGAGTTCAATTTCAGGTCAATCTAATTCACATCGCCTTTTAGCCTATATTTAATACAACACGGTCTAACTCAATGCTGCATATATAAAACCAAGGGTGCTACGGGGTTAAAGAAGACCTATTATCCATTGTTTTTGTCCAATATAAATGGCAATGAGACTATTTTACTTTCGTTTCATGTTTGAAAGTGTGAAATTATATATTAAGTACTAAAATGTTAAGTAATGAAACAAGAATGAAGGCGGAACAAATTATGTCCACCTGCAACTCCATATGCTACCACCAGAGGGAGGAGTGGGATTTGTTCTTTTATTATCCAATTTTGGAAATTATTGGCTGCAAACACAATGAGGAGGTTGTAAAGAACCACATTTTACTTGAGAAATTGCCAAAACTAATTTATGGGACTTGTTAGTACGGGAGATCAATAAAATATCTATCTATCTACTGTGATGGGAGACAGGTGCAGCAGTGGGGCGGCTGTGGCTGTAAAATGCTAAACTGTTGTTGTGTCTTTATAGGCAAGACACTTTGAGTCTGGTGTCAGGTGGTCAAGGCGGCCGATGGCACTTACTGGTTGCCCCGCTTCTGCCAGTGTCCCCCGGGGCAGCTGTGGCTATGACAGTAGTTTATCACCACCGTGTATGGAGTGAATGAATAATGACATGTGAAGCATCTTTGAGTGTCCAAAAAAGCGCTATAAAACACTAATGCATTACATTCAAAATTAATAGTTACTTAATGTAACTTAAGTTCTACGAATAGGTGCGTAGTCCCTTAGGACTTCGCTAGTGGGATATCACGTGACCCCCAGGTCACACGCCAGAGAGATCAAATAATTTGCTCCAATCACCAGCCACCTTCCTCTATAAATGCCCCTGCACAAGGCCGCACCCCCTCTTGAACTCTGCCAAGCCGGGCTGGCCTGATGGGCTCGTAGCTAAGGGACTACGCACCTATTCGTAGAACTTAAGTTACATTAAGTAACTATTAATTCTACGTCATGGTGCTACGTCCCTTAGGACTTCGCTAGTGGGACACAACGCGGAGGCCGTAGGAAAATGTACTCCCAGCAGGCCAGCGAAGGGTGATTGGAGCTCCGCCCGAGTAAGACCCTCACAACGTGAGAGGACTCAGGGCAGAAGAACAAGCGTGTTACGGGGCCACTCCTACCAAGGATACCCCCACGTAACACAAGCCGTAGGTCATCCGTAGTCACAGAACGCCTCTCCCAAGAGCTCCTGACGTGGACTACCAGACCGACCACACACACAATGTACCGCACCTGTAGGATGCCTCTCCCAAGAGCTCCTGCACCAGGGCGGAAACTAGACCGAAGGCCCACCCCTCAGGGGAGGGACCCAACGGTCTAACTCAATCCGCTGCACTCAGCACGGAATGGGCCACCGACCGGTCCGACACATCCGAAAGATAAGACCGGACGAAAGAGGAGGACGACGCCCAAGAAGCCGCACGGCAAACGTCCTCGACCGACGCCCCCCTGAGAAGGGCCGTAGAGGCCGCCATCCCACGCGTGGAATGCGACCTGAAACCCACCGGGGGGGCCAGGCCCTGCGTCTGATACGCCCGTCGCACCGCCGCGGCGACCCAATGCGCCAGCCGCTGAGCCGACAGCGGGGCGCCCCTGTTCTTGGGGCCCAGACACACAAACAGCTGACCACCCGACCTGAATGACGACGTCATGGCCAGGTAATGCCTCAACATTCTGATAGGACACAGAAGGTGCTGCCGCTCCTCCTCGGGGGAGGCATGCGGCGGCGGGTGGAAAGCCCTAATCCTGATCACTCTCGACCTAAAGGCCGACGTGATGACCTTGGGGAGAAAAGCCGGATTGGGCCACAACTCCACCATGCCGTCGTCCTCTCCAAAGGACAGGCACGACGCATGGACGGAGAGCGCACACAAATCGCCCGCCCTCTTAGCAGACGCCAACGCCAGTAAGAGGGCCGTCTTAAAAGCGATACACTCGGGACTCGCCTCCGCCGCCGGTTCAAAAGGCGAACCCGACAGCCCCCTAAGGACCACCTTGAGGTCCCAAACCGGAGGCGTTCTCTGGAGCGGGGGCCTCCTCCTGCGCGCCCCCCGCAGAAAACGTTTAACCAACGGGTGAGAGCGGGCTGTGAACCCCCCGAACCCGTCGTGACCCGAAGTAATGGCTGCCGCAAACACCGCCAAGGTAGCGACAGCCCTCCCCTTGTCGAAAAGCTCCTGTAGGAATCCCAGGACCCCCTCCAGCGGGAAACACCTGGGATCCCAGGAACGGGAATCGCACCAGACACTGAATAGCCTCCACCTCGTGGCGTAGGCCCTCACGGTGGACGGCGCCCTCGCTCCCTGAATAGTCTCCACCACCACAGGGGGAAGACCCAGATCTACGAGGCTCCGCCTCTCAACCTCCAAACCCAGAGCCTGCGGCCGATTATCGGACGTGAAAACAGGGCTCCTGCCCCCTGGACTAGAGCCCCCGGCTCGTCCGGGAGGGCCCAGGGCTCCATCACCGCCATGCCCCTCAGGAAGGGGAACCACCGGGCATGCGGACTGTCCGGAGCCACCAGAATCACCGATCTCCTCTCCTGTTCGATCCTCCGCAGCAGGACCGGCAGGAGACGCACCGGTGGGAAAGCGTACAGCAGGCCGCCTGGCCATGGGTAATGAGCCAGAGCGTCCACGCCTAAAGGCGGCTCGTCCGCGGCCCTTAAGGCGAACCAGGACGGGCACTGTGCGTTCTCTGCACTGGCGAAAAGGTCGACTACTGGACGGCCGAACCTCCGCCAGATCTCCGCAGCTACCCGTGGGGCCAGGCCCCACTCGTCCTGGAGTGGGCCCCCCCTGGACATTCTGTCGGCTCCCACGTTCCGGACCCCCGGGACGTGGCGCGCCCTGAGAGACAGGAGGTGAAGCGCCGCCCACAGCAGCGTCACCGTCGCCATGCGATGGAGAGCGGGGGACCTGGTGCCCCCCTGCCTGTTCAGATAGGAGACTACTGTGGTGTTGTCTGAGCGCACCATCACGTGTCTCCCCTGCAGCTGAGGGGCAAAGTGCAGCAGTACTCTGTGCACTGCCTCCATCTCCAGCAGGTTGATGTGACGGGCTGAGTCCGACCAGCAGCCTCCTACAGAGCTCTGGCCGAGGACCCCGCCCCATCCTTCGAGCGACGCGTCCGTGAACACCTCGACGTGAGACACAGCGCAGGCCAGAGTCACTCCGTCCCGCAATAGACCCGGAGTGAGCCAGAACCTGATGTCCGATGCTGCCCCTTGGGGAACCCAGATCAGCCTCCCCCCGTCCCGGGAGGGGTGAAGCCTGAGGCGCGAGAACCACCTCTGAAAATTTCTCATGTGGAGCAGGCCTAGCCGCACCACAGCATGAGCCGCTGCCATCATTCCCAGCAGGGACCTGAGGCGCCGAGCGGGGACTCTGGGGCCCGCCAGAACCTCCCGGGCCAGACGGGTAACACTCATCCGTCTGTCCACGGACAATGCAGCACGGAATATCACAGAGTCTAGCTGCAGACCGAGGTAAACCATGCGTTGGGCTGGCTGCAGCTTGCTCTTCTCCCTGTTCACCACAAAGCCCAGACGCTGTATGTGGGACAGGACCCAGTGCGTGTGGCTCACGGCCACTTCCCTGGA